CTAGTGGGAGCTATGCTGGATGCTGACACCCACTCCTGTGCAGAGATTTTTGCATATTTTTTTTTCTCTTCCACCCATTTTACACAAGATGGTAACATATGGCCTTGGGTGATTAAATGATTTAGTGAATGAACTGAGCAGAAAGAGCAGGCTGATTGGAAGAAGACAGCTTCTGTTTAGGCATAAATGCCTTTGTAATCTGTAATGATAGGAAAGAAATTGCAGAAAAAGCAGAAGACAATTTAACAGGGTTTTGGCTAAATACTATATTTTTCAGGTCTGCTTTAAATACACTGAAATAATAGTATAGTGGCTATTACTTATTTTATTTCTACACCATGTCCTTGTAGAAGGGGCACCCCATAAGTGGACACAGAAGCATACAACTACATGCAGCATATAAAGAGGGAAAAATTAACCCAACAGTTTTGTAAAACTAAGTTGGCATTTTATTTATTAACTTCTGAACAAGGAAGTCCTGCAGAACTTGGAGTGGGCTACACTACTAGCTGAAAAGGCTTCAAATACCTTCGAACTTTCTCAGAATTACTCCAACTACAATAACCAGTTGCACTTGTGCAACTTCATCAGAAACCTCAGAAGGTTTTGTGAAAGGAAGACATCTAGATGCCCTCTGGGCAGTCCCACCCAGTCTGCCACTGCAGGAGCTCAGGGCACAAGTTAACAACCACTCCCACCCTCTTCCTTTCAGGGCATCATGATTTGTCTCTTTTAACTCTAGGTTTTGTGTTTTATATCTTTGGGATAATACTTGAGTGTTCTCATGAGCATGCAGCAGCTCATGGTGTAGGTCTGTCCTGAACTAAGCATCTGTTCATGGTTGGCCAGGGTTGTGGGAGACTGGGCTCCAGCAGCCAGGTGTTCCTAGGATAGAAATTTGAAGCCAATTTCTTTGTACCCAAAACAACAGGACTTTAGAAAGAAAACATTTCAATTTCTGGTTCCAGTGATGGTGTGCATATCATTAACAGTAAACAAACAAAGCCAACTGAATTCCAGTTCACATCTCCACCCACAAGTCCAATTCCATTCTTTATGATCAAATTGAAATTTCTTGGGACATCACAAAGAAAACCCTGTCCCCAGTAATAATCCCCACGTGAAGCAGAAGCTGTAGCTTAAAGCTAGACAAACCTGTACCGCACAGAAGGACAGCTGGACACAAAGAAAGTTTATCAATGGTGTCTGACCTCAGCTTGCACCATGAACACTAGCAGCCACCTCGCTGATAAACCTCAATGCATGGCACTCCTTCTCCGTCATGTGACAGTATTTGAGAGGAGAGAGGTTTTTGGCCCACCTGCTAAGAAAAGCTCTTAGATGAGCAAATCCTGATGCCTTACCCAGCATAGCTAGGGCTGATAAGAATTACTGATCCAGTCAGTCTCTGGCACAATAAGATGTGCATTTAGCCAAACCATGTAAAGGCTGTATTATATTACCTTGGCACTTCCTCAGCACTGGTTCCCCAGAGAGAAAACTACCTTCCATGGTGACATCAGCTGAACCTCAAATGTGGTGACAGCTTCAGAACTACTTACCTTTTAATTTTTCTGAAAACCAGACTGACATCAATTAAGTCATATTACAATTTAAAAAGAAATATATTAAAAAAAATAAATTTAAAAAGTCAAGGGTGCCATGATCACAAATCCTAATTTTCCCTTCTCTGGGATATATAATACTGGCGATATTTGCAGCTTTACCTCCAGTCTTATTAGTCAAAACTTTCTGTGAGAGTTTTAATTTACCAGGAGGGTATCCACTTTCTATTGTCCTATCAATGAAAACAGTAGCAATGCATATGGGTGACAGTATGCAGTTCAAAATAACCCATAGAGCATAAGTCTGGGATATATGATGACAAATGAGCAGTTTTCATTGCCAGTTTCTTTTTTGTCATGGAGAACAAAACGGATGGTATGTACAGTAATTTGCACACACTAGTCTACAATTTGATGAAAATGTAGAAAATTCTGTTACAGCAGGTCATAAGAAAGTATGAAGGGCCAAATTTTCAGCTGGTTCCACGGTACAGCTGTGTTGTGTTAGCACCTAAATCTGTGGCTCTGGACTCAAACATCACACAGGAACCTTTGACCCTTGTCAGCTCAGGCTCTTCTGCTTGATTGCCCTCAAGAAGAGTTTCCAAGAGCATATAGCTCCATTCAAACTCCTGAAACAAATGCAACACTTTTAATGCTTGCAGGCAAAGCTGGCATCTGCAAAGCAGCTCCCTACATATTAATCAATCTTGAGCAGCAACAAACAATATTGGGAGATTCACCACACAAACTGTTTCAGAAAAGACGCCAGGAAACCTCAATGTTCTCAGATCAGAGGCAAGCAGGGAGGCTCTACCCAAGCTCCTGTAACAGCATGCTGCAACGTCAGCATTGGTTATGAGCCAAAGGCCTTCAGGCCTGCTTGTTGCCTGGAGGATATAAATGAAAGTCAGCAAGTGCAAAGGTGCAAGAAGTGCAAAATTGCATCATGTCTTCCTAAACTGTGTTTGTGCAGTAAATGAGACTCATTTCTTTCCATGCTATATTGAGATCATTTTTATTTTCCTTGGCTTATGAATGTTCTTAGTTCAATTTTTGTGTGTGTGTGTTCTATACAGTACCTTGGGATGCCTGAGGTGATTTATAAATATGTGTAGAGACCAGGTGTACTGCCAGATGTTTATGTCCCTTTACAACAGGGCTTCACCATCCCTTCCAAAGAAACACCCGTTTTATATTATTTTTTTCTAATAGAGGATCAACTGGACTGTTGGGTATTTGTGAGTTTTCCCCTCTGTTGTTTTTTTTCTTAATTCACTTTTATCATCTTGTTTCTATATTCAAAATAACATAAAGTCTTTAAACCTCTCTAAGTACTCTCTTGAAAAATTAGAGTTCCTTTCACATTAAAAAAATCACAGATAAATGTCAACAGTTCCAGGTTTAAATCAATGAAGTCTGAGTAACTGCCAAAAAAGATTTTTAATCTTAAAGTGTACCTACACTCACTTTTTCTCTGTCTCTCTTCATCTCCTATTTAGAAATAGAAAAAAAGTCGTTTATTATAATAGCTGTACAAGTGGTAATTGCAGATAATTTTCTTAAATATAACTGTAGTAAGAAGTAACCTGTAGCCCCAGGGTGAACCAGTGTGAATACGCAAAAAAGACAAAGTGATGTGCTGAAGGTCATATTGCCAAATGACAGAAGGGAAAAGAAAATACAACCTGATTTAATTAGGAGTCAGCATTGTAAATACTAGGCGAGGAGCAGTAATTTTTTTCTCAGTACATCCTAGAACATAAGGAGGCAGGTTCATGTCTATGACAAGGAAATAATAAATGAATAGAATGTACAGTTATGCCCCATTAAATTTTATTTAAAGTTTATCTTAAAATTCCAGGTCCAGCAAAAGTCTGTAATGACCTGAGAAAGTCCACTTGCTAAATGTCATCTTTAGCAAATAAATTCTTTGAATTTCTTCACATTAAGCAGCCTCATTTTTCACAGAGTTTTATATTATGATAATGACTAAACTGCTTCCTTCAGTAAAGCTGTACTTGTATAAGCAAGTGTTCACAAACTGAGGTCTTACTAACCAACCCCGAGCAGCTGGTGAGATGGCTTATATTAGGAAGCATGAGGCAGGATGAAGTTTAGAGATCTAGGACAACAGAGTTAATGTTATTATTTCAGGCACATTCACTGACAGTTTGAATATATGTAACTGCATAAGTTATTTGTACATTTTAGATTAAAAAAAACCAAACAGACCAAACTTTAGAAATATTTTCAACAGTATTTCCTATTAAAATACTTTAAACATTTATTTTTGCAACTGAAAGAAAAGGTAATTTAGTACTTATTGGGAAGATGTTCAAGAAATGACAGGCAGCAGGGAATAGAGTACTGATTTTTCTCAGATGAAGTGATTATTAGCACTAAGGAAACAATCAGGAAACATGAAGAGTCAGCATATTAGCTGGTGTATCCTGAAGACAAGGACAAAACCCTGTTGAGTTCCAGGTATAATGGCATATGGAATATGATGCCAATGGAGAAAAAAAAGCCAAAGCCTTGAAGATGGAATTGTGTCAGTATCTAAGAGAGACTGAAAGTTAATAATAAAAAAATCCCAAACCAGGTCTGCATGAGCAATCAGTTCACTGAAGGATATGAGAAGTCTTTTCTTTTGTATATATCTATATTTTATATTTTCATATATGCACGTATGTAATGCTTGAAGCATATGGACACCTAGATGCTAGCTGCTGTGTGATATACATAGCAGTGCTGTCAAATAAACTAGGCACAGCTAGAATTCAGTATGTTTCTTTAGAATAGTTTCATATTACTGAAGAGACGAAGTACATGTCTTCAGCTTTTATATCTACGCAATCAATTTTGGTTATTAATACATAACCAAGTTCTTTCTCTTCAGACTCTGAGGTTCTGTTGGTGAGCCTTGTTTTCCTTAAAATACTGCCCTGTATTATCTCTTTACCTGAATCCAAAGGGGAGATGGGGAAATACCCATCTCCTCGGATTAGTCTTTTGCTCAGGAAGACCTTAGCTCTTCAAACCTGGCCTCCACTGCCCTGTCCTAACACACCATTAAGCCACAGTATTCTCCAAAGCCGTTGACCTCAATCTGCCTGTGAACCATGATGAGGTCTGGAGAGCTCAGCTTCCCCTCAGGCACCATCCTGCCCAGCACTGCCCAGGAATGCACAGACCTGGGCACATACACAACCCCCAAACAACACCAACCTGCTGATACAGCTCCTTGTAACATGCCCTGCCGTGGTGGGAAGCGCAAAGATTACCCACAGTAACTCAGAGCTTGAGGTGGAAGCTGTAGTCCAGGGCACAGCAGCTCATTAAAAGAGAGAGAAGCATGTTCCCATCACACCATTGTTATGAATTCACAGCCGGCTCGTGCCAACCAAGAGAGGCTGGGACACAAACCACAGAAATTATAGAAGTAAATATTTATTCGCGTGCATAAGGTGCCTGAGCCAAACTGGGCACACCCCAGAGATTTTTCTTTAGGGGTTTTATACAAGGGAATGACATGAACCACCTAATTACCCACTAGTGCACGTTTCTAATTATCCAGTCATACATGTGGTAGGGCAAAGCAACTCTATTTTTGTACATCTTGCAGCAGCAGCAGCAGCATCCATCACCATCCTCGTGACTTGCATTAATCCAGATGTTCCTACAGTCAACTTCTGCAAGGCTAACAGGCACCAGCAATTTGTGTTTGTCTTAGATACGGATCGCTCAGTGAATTTTGGCCAAAAGTTTTCTTATCCTAGTCAACTGTGTTGTGTTCCTGGCAGGAGCAGGTGACATCTCTTGGGTCTGGAGATAATACTGCAATATACACTATACATATACACACACGCACAATATATACATATACGATATAGTTATATACACACACAGTACACACGTATACATATACAACAGACATACATACATACACAATACACTAGTGATGCTCTTGGCTCCCAACGACTGCATGGTCTCAGTACTTTATACCACACTCTCCAACCCGACCGGCCCCGGTAGTGCCCAGACGGGCAGACACGGACACAGGAGCACACTGGAGGCGGCCCGACCCGGCCCGGCCTTGCGCCGGGCCATTCCCAGTCCCGTTCCCGTTCCCGATGCCTCCCGCTCTGCGCCGCACCTGCCGCGTCCGCACCGTCCCGCCATGCACCGCGACACCCCCCGCCACACAGCCCCGCCCCCAGGACCCGCCCCAGCGCTCGCCCCGCCCCCGGGCTTACTCGGCCCCGCCCCCTTCCGCCTCGGCTCCCCGCCGGGTCACGCCCCCTCTGCCCCTCCGCGCGCTGCGATTGGCGGTACCGCCGGCCTTCCCGGGCCGCCCTGCTCCAATGAGCGGCCGCGGCGGCCCGTCAGTCAGCGGCGGCCGCTGGCGGCGGTTGGCGGCGGCCGCGGCGCGGGCGGGCCGCGCTGTCAGTCAGAGCGGAGTCCGAAGTGGGGAGCGGGAGGGAGGGGGCGAACATCTGTCTGCCGCAGCCGGGCCCGGCTGTGCCGCCGCCGCCGCCGTGCGTGCGCCCCGCGCCCCCGCCCGCCCCCGACCCCCGCC